TGCCCGCTTTTCCTTCTGTAGCGGGAATGAGGAGGATCTGGGGAGCAGACATTTCTGATATAGACGTTGCGGGAGACACAAGTGTCATGCTTGTGGTTTTGCTTTAAAAATGTGTTGTCCAGCATCCTCCTCTCTCTGCTTGCTGAGTGCTTTCCAGTCCTTAAGTCGGAGGTGTTTGCACCTTTTGTCGCACACCCTCATTGGGGATTTGCTTTCAATCTGTGCTAACAAAGTGGAAAAGAGGAAGGATCTGAAACCACTTGACTGGAAAAGCCCCTTCCCTCCCAGTTACACGTGTTCGGTTTCTTGCCAGCGTGTTCCAGCTTTCAGGCTGTGCAGAGGGTCAAAACAGTCCAAGGGACAAAAATTCATGTTGAAGAAGGAGTTTCAAACCCCATCTCCGGGCCACCCGCACGAGCCTGTCTCTGCAGCGAGAGTCCTTTCACCCGCTGGAGCAGGGAGCTGCTCGAGGCTGCCATTGCCCTGACAGCGAGGCTGGGAGATAGCCCAGGGCACGCGGGGCTGCAGGGCACCGGGGGCATCTCAGGGCACAGTGGGCATTGCAGGGCACAGTGGGGCATCGCAAGGCATCATGATGCAGGAGCTCCCTTGTGCTGATCCTGCTCTCATGCCCTCTTGGATCCCTCTTGAAAGACCCCTTGAGAGACCTCAGGTCCTCCTCAAAGTACTTCCCGAGGTACTCGCTGTGTGCCCTGGAAGGCAGTAAAGAACCCTAAACCAAAGGAAAACGCTGAGGTTGCTTGGGCTGGGAATGCCATTCGGTGCAGAGGTTCCTGGGGAAAGCAAAAAAGGGGCTCCGGACGGGGATGGCGTCGGCAGAGGCGGGTTTGGGTTTGAGTCCCCCGCCTGAGCCGCTGTGTCTCTCTCTCTTCACAGTGAAGGATTTGGACACTGAGAAGTACTTCCACTTGGTAAGTATCCCGCTCCCGGCTGCGGGGGCTGGTGGCTGCGTGGCAGGGGGCCGGGGGCCGCTCTCCCCTCCTGCCCTCCCGGGGAGCACTGCCAGGGAGCAAAGCCGTCGCTTTGGGACAGCTGCTCTGCAGCACGGCACCGGCACGCAAGGGGACGGGTCACGGCAGCAGCTCTGCTCCCCAGACCTCTC